AATTGATGAGTCCTGGCTTGTGTGATGCAATTGGGCTATCCTAGTAAGAGAGAGAGATAGAGAGAGAGAGAGAGAGATAACTTACTTCCATTTATCGTCCCTTGTTCCTTGTTCATTGCAAACCGATACACTAAAAAGATCACCATGAACGTTATTAGGCAGCTAGAGACAACTATAAGTGTCACCATCCCCCTCTTGCCAAGAGAACCATAAGCCTTGTTTTCCTCTACGGCTGTAGATAAGAATATGTGTCAAAGCAGATTCATGTCCAAAGAAATCATGTATGCTTCAGAATTCAAAGTGCACTATGCATGGTCAAGTTTCAAAAACATAATTTTGTTATGAGTGATACTTGATTCAGACACTTTTTTCAATTATACACCTATATGTGATCCTGATCGATTCCAAAAAATGGTTAAAGATCTCGAGGAATGGATTATTTTCATGATTAATTATCATTTATTAATTAGAGATTTGTAGAGTAAACTGTAGTGACGCACAAAGCAAGGCCAAATGAACTAGCCCCAATTAAATTAAAATATCCATCAATTGCAATGTTCAAGCCCGGCCTAAATCAGGTGACACCACACTCTTCCTATTGCATTTATAGCCCCTTGTTTTCACTCTGACATGAATTCACAGAACATTATTCAATGATTATTTATTTATTTTAATTCCTTTTTATCTCATTAATAAACTGGTGGTTGAAGAGTCATTAGTTGTGTTATAAGCGAGCCTCCAAGACCTACCATAAGGTACATGAACTCGTTTGTTGAACTATCCCACAAACAAATCTTTGCACTCCCTCTGGCCTACACCCTATTTTATAACATATTTGATTGATTGATTGGTAAAATTACGAATACCAACGAAGTCAACTAGATCCAATTTTGAATATTAATTAGTTTCTCCATGAAGTTTCAAAAATATCATTTATATATAAAGAAATATATTTAACAAGTGAAACAATGAAAGATAATCTTGAGATAACTATTAGTAATGGAACCTTATTTTTTTGAAATCATTCTATATTTCAGAACACTAAATTACCTTAAAAAATGTTTTATAAAATGGAACGGAGTATTATGCAAAAACTTTATATGTCACACCATTCATTAGTTACGAAAATTAAGCAAAACATTGGAAGCATTAGTTGCTCATATTCATGGACTCAAATGTTAAAAAAAAAAAAGAAAAAAAATATATGCCACTATATATGCATTAAAAGAAAGCGAGTATTAATGTACCTAATTCAGCTGCCTCCACGCGCACATACAAATCTTGTCCTGCATTGTCAAATGTCCTCATATCTTCCATGTCAACATGCCATGTCAAGCACCCACTTTTTGTGACCTCATTTAAACTCGTATATGCTAAGCATGAACAATCCTTTATGCACATCTCTTCACAATCTTTCAAGCTCATGCTCATGCTCTTATCCACATGTCCCTTTGACGTATCTGGCAACTTCACACTTGCTACCTTCACAAATCCCTCCCCACTTTGACACGTGGACACATTATTCTTCCTCACACATCCGCCCGCCCCGTTTCTAACAGACCACTCTTGTGGGTTCTTGGGTTCAAATCCAGGCAAACACACACACGCAAACTTGTCACCATATATGGGTCACATATGCTATTTGAACCACACCGTCGGTATTTGTCACAGTCATCTTTAGCTTGCCAAATTTTTCGTGTAAGGCGACCAGTGTTGTCCACCACCGTTATAAAGGCTGATGGATCGCCAACTCTGGCCGTTACAGAAACTTCGTTGGCATTGTCAACATAGTCAATGTTGAAGATGAAATTTGTTGACATATGGGATATACCGCTCCATCTCAGACCCGTCCAATGCCCGCCCCGCTAAAATGGAGCTCCGTTTTTATAAATGAATCTTTGAGGATAACCTGTTGGGTCAATCGTCACGTTCCCAAATCTTGGGTCATCTGGGGATCTCCATGACGTAATAGACCAGTTGAAACCAGTTTTCCAATTAAAACCGAGTTTCATATTTAAAAGAATGGTGTCACCAGGATAATCAAAACTCTGCCACAGAAGCTTTTGCCTTCCTCCGTTTTTGATTAAAACCAAGTTTCCTGTCTCTAGAAGCTTCACAATGGTATTATTAGGAGATGTGATCGAAACATTGGATGACCAGAGAGGGTTCAGGTTTGAATTTATATCATTGAGACCAAGAACCATGTTTCCATGGGTATTGATAGACAAAACTCCAGAAGTATCATTAAGAGGGTTTTCTCTATTGGCTACCCACACAACCGTTTTCTCAGAGAATCTGTAATATTATATTCTGACATAACGATTTCTAGAACTATCGCTGGGGGTGAAGAAACCGAGAGCGAAGGTTGCTTTGTCAGAGAGCAAAATACCGCCATCTCTAAGGGCTTGGCTTGGTGTTATTCTATCAAGAGAGTCACAAGAAGAACGAAAGAGAAATAGAAGCAACAATAGAGTAGTGATCAGAACGAAGCCTTTAGCGGGAAACACCATCATGGTGTTATGATCTGGGACTATTTTGATATTAACGAGGGCTCTAGATATAAGAAACGCAATTAGAAAAAAAGGACGCATCATGCTCTATAGACACAATCTATAACGTACATAGCTATAACTGGTGCAGCAAGTAACAACATGTAGCTTTTCTGCTTACTATTTTACATGAGTACCCCCCCGCACGCGGTTTTTCAAGTCAATACGAGATCAGAGAAACAACGATGAACGTGTACTTTACTTTATAATCGATAGCGGAAAGAATAAGACAAACTAATAGGACAGGCTGACATTGAAGTCTGTGGTCTTCCTTCTTTTTGCCCAAACATTTGTTCTTCGAAGACCAAAACGTTCCGGTCTACTTGAGGAACTCAAGGACTTGTTTGGTTTTTTTTTTTTTTTTTTGGTGGGGCCAGATAAGGACTTGTTTGGTTATTAAATAAAAGTAGAATGAAACGGAATGGCCGGGTTGATGGTCAATAAAAATGATTAAAATAAGATCATGGACTGATAAAAAGGTGGAAATGATAGAGACGAGAGACATGGAGTGATAAAGGTATGAAATGAGAATTGACATAACTATGATCATCAAGAGAATCACAAGATGAACGAAGGAGAAATAGAAGAAATAATATAGTAGCGATAAGAACGAAGCCTTTAGCGGAAAACATCATCATGGTGTTACAGTAAGGGACAATTTTGATATTGAGCGCAAATGAAACGCTCTAGAGATAAGAAATGCGTCAGAACAATAGAGATGAGGCCAACTTAAAGTAAAGCTAATTAGATTTGTTGGATTTGTGTTTGAGACATATCTACTGTGACTGATTGACTGACTGTTGAGGTGTTAGGATCTATAGTCGGAAGAAAGTGGTCCTGCAATTAATACAAAGAGTCTGATTGAGACGCAGTCAGAGAACGTACATAGCTATAACTGCGCCTGCAAGTAAATATATGTAGATTTTCTGCTCACTATTTCAAGTCAACGTGAGAGAGAAACAATGATGAACGTGTATTTTATGGATATTTATTATGAATATTAATCATGGGTCCCAAATTTATACTTCTGTTTATTCTTTTCAATTGCCAGTTTCTTAAGTTGAAGTCACTAAATTACATGTTATTATTAAAAAATTGAAATTAGGCGAATTGATCTCCAGGTGATTAACTTCAAGAACCAAGTTGACTTGCTCCACAAATCTCAACCACAAGCTCAGCAATTAATTTTTCATGAAGACTTTTTACCATTGAAATTCGATGGCCGAGAGAATAAGACACACCACCCATAAAGCTGTAGGACAGGCTTAGATTGAAGTCTTTGGTCTTTCTTCTTTGTGCCCAAACATTGTTCTTCGAAGACCAAAACGTTGCGGTCTATTTGAGGCGCTTAAGGACTTGTTTGATTGTTAAATAAAAATAGAATTGATGAAACGGAATGGCAATAGCTAGTGAACAAAAACGATTAAAATAAGATCATGGACTAATAAAAAGGTGAAAATGATAGTGAGGAGCTACATGAAGTGATAAACAGATGAGAATGAGAATTGACATAAATAAGATCATCAATGACCTGTTTGCGTAACATTTTCACTACGTTTAATTCGACATGTGTGGCTAATACTATGTTTGGTATAGATTTTGTTTTGTTGGGTAGAGAGGAAAGGAAAATTGCTCCTCTTTGTTTTTTTTCTTTCAATATTTAAAAGTGACGCATTGAATGTCCCAACATTAAAAAAGTTTATTTTAATAATTAATTGATTTAAAAATGGTAAAAAATGACCTCAAAAATTATAAAAAATAATTCATGAAATTACACATAAGTACCCTATAAATAATATGATACAAATGTTATTTTTTATCCATGTAAAAAATTGAAATGTGATTTTGACCAACTATTATTTTAGGAACTAAATTAATATTAATTTTTTTATATATAGGGTACTTATTTGCAATTTTACTGATTAATAACAGTTAAAGTTAATTTTTTTAATACATTTTTAAATGTTGAAGGAAAAAATTACATCACATATAAGTTTAGAATATTAAATGCTCCTAATTGAATAGGTGAGTGGCAAAAATGTCTATTAGCCCTTTTAACTCAAAAAAAAAAAATTGTGACATTCCTTAAGGCAATGTAAAGAAAATAATTTCAGGTAGTTAGAAAAATGAATATGATGCCGCAATCTCCACGATCAGAAATGTAATAACTCAGGAATTTAAAAAAATAAAATAAATATATATGTTTTATTTAGTTATAGTTATATTAATTTTGGTACAATTATGACAAGAGGAAGGGTTGGTATAATGAAAGAGAGCACGTGATTTATATATGAGATTCAGAGTTTGAACCTGCCAAAGCATTTGAGAGTTATTCTTTTTTATTTTCTTTATTTTTAGCCTCTAAATTACCAAAATATCCTCAGCCTATCAGATATAATATCTTTTTTCTTCTTCCTCTTTGCTGAATCGTGTTGGGCATCAGAGAGAGAGAGAGAGGGAAAGAAAAATCTGGAAGTTGTGTGCGACCTCTGAACCTTCTGCCATTCTCGACCTCTGATCCTTCTTCTTCGTTCCTTGCCGCCGCCGACGAGGCAGACGAGTTGCCGTGAGGTCGCTGTCGCTATGCGATGCCCAGGTTCTTCCTCGTTCTTCTATGTCTCTGTTTGTCTTCTCCACTGTTGCTCTGTTTTCGCTGTTCTCAAGCACGTAGTTGGTGTGCGTGAGAGTCAGGTTGCCAGCGCTGCAAACGTGGACTGTGATCGTCCACTGTTAGCAGTCCCAGTCATGAATCCATAGTTCTTCACTCTGCCATCGATCTCTGCACCTCTCTTCACTGTTTGTGCTGTTGAAGTTTCTCCTTCTTCCTGCATCCTTCCCATTCGTAAGTGATAAATGAATGAAGGGTTGGTGTGATGCTATGGGAGAATTGGTTCTTGGGTAGGAAGCTAGTTTAATGTTGTTATTTTGTTTCCCTGTTCAGCTGTGGTTGCATTTTCTTCTGCCCATTTGTGTTACGTTGGTGCATCTAAAGGGAGCAACTTTGATTTTTTTCTTTTCTTTATGGAATCTGTGAGTTTGTGAGGTTATAGAGTTGAATGGAAAATTTTTGTTTTGTGTTTTGTTGATACTCATGGCTATTTGTTCAAATATGAAGGGGAGGCTTGAATCAAAAAAAAAAAAACAGAGAGAAAGGAAAAGGATGATGTAGATTTGAGATTTAATTGAATTTGATTTAATTATTGGCTATAATGCTGACCTTATGAAATCTTTGAAAGTGAAATTGATGAGGAAGAAGGTGGTATTTGTTTAAGTTATAATGCTCATAAAGTGTTGGATTAAATGCCCATGAGGGGACTTTTGTTTGAAATTATAATTATTAAAAATTTCATTAAATTACTTGGAAGACATAATTGGTTGGAATGTTATTATCTTATGAACTTAGTTTGAAATTTACAAAAGAAAATATTTGATTGGGTATTTTTCTATAATTTTGTTGGATCTCGTAAGAAACATGAATTGGCTCGGGTATTGTTCATTTGTAAATTTGAATTAAACATTGTGAAGAAATTTATTGAGAGATTAAGTGAATTCTTGAAAGTTTTATGGTTATCAATTTATAAAGTATAGTGTTACCTTATGATTTAATCTTGGAATCGAATGAGAACTGGAAAGAAATCTTTATAATTATAGGAATTTAATTAAATTGCATTATCTTATATTCTTATAGGGGGTTTGAAAGAAGAAGATTTTGATAGGAAATAAAAGGGAGAAAATCTTTGAAAATTTGGTAACACCACAGGTAAGTGGATAACGTCCCAATCAATATATATTGAAAATATTTCCTTATCAAAAGATCGCTTTTAATAATTTATGGATATTTATAAATTTCTCTTGCTTTAGTGACTTGTTTATTAAATTGCTCTGCTTCTTGAAGTCATGACTTATACTTTTTATATTGATGAAAATGCTTTCTTAAATTCTAGTAGTGCTTTATTTGATAAAGCTAATTAAAAAAAAATTTGTAAACAGTTTATGAGATATTAATTGTGAATTTTTATATTTAAAAATATGGGTGCTTTTATATGTTTCATGCGAGTTAGATTTTTAAAAGAGAAATAGTATTTTGAAAATGATGATTTTCTTGCATGTCTGAAAGTGAATTTAAAAGGGGACTGTATATAGAACGCTGGTTGTTAACGGCAGTTTCGTTAGCCCTTGGCACGCCATGGTCAAATACTAGCTAGTTTGAATTTCGTGAGCTTTGTTCTCATGTCTGTTATTCGTGGGTCTTGTACCTGCGTCTGTTTCGTGGCTTTGACCACGTCTGGTTAGTTACCCTCGTGGACTATGTGTCCACGTCTGTTTCATGGCTTCGACTACGTCTAGTTATTTACGCTTGTGGACTTTGTGTCTATGTTTGTTTTTGTGGCATAAGCCGCGTTTGGTGATTTATTCTCGTGGACTGTGTATCCACATTTGTTACTTGTTCTGATAAGTCCCTATACTTATGAGTTTTAAATTTTTATGGATCTATTTTCATTAGTTTTGATTAATGACATGTTTACAATTAGTTATTGCAATTATTTGCTTTATTAAAGTTAAATGATAATGACATTTGATAAGATACTTTAATGAATTATGATTTTATTTAAAGTTACATAGGATCCTTTTATTCCGAATTTATTTAAATCTTCATGGAGATTATTATGTTTTAATTTTCCTTTTATTCATATTTAATTATTTATTATTGGGACGTTATTTACTGGAAAATAATTTTTGATCTCAGATAGTGTAGCTGATGCTGAATCATCTACTGAACATTGAGGAGTTTGTGATTGATTAGAAGTGGAGGAGCTAAGGGTCAAACTTTCTCTTGACGTAAAGTTTTAATTATGAAATTTTATTTTGTAAACTTATTGTTAGATGCTCCACATAGTCTATGGTCAAGTTGTTTATGTGGTTATATATTTTGTCTATTGGCTGGAAGGAGCTCTACTCCTGATTGGCTTGATATTTTTGGTTGAAATATTGTCTTGTAGAATTTTCAGGAGATCTTATTTACAGAGGAGATTTTGTCGAAATTTCTACAAAAATATTGAGACTTTTATTACTACCAAAAATGTTTATGTATGTTCTAATTCAAACTAAAACATAATTATTTTTTAGTTATGAAAAGGTTATCCAAATTTGAGGCTTAAGGCATGTGTGATGGATCACATCCTTTGCCGGTCACCCTTTATTTTTGGGGTGTGACAAGAAATTATCATTTTCCCTCTAATTTCAAAACCAATATGCACGAAAGAAATGAGGCTGAAAGTCTTTGTAGAAGAAAATTGAACAAAAGAAAATTTAGGATTGATTTCAACTGCGCATGCATGTTTCCTGGCAATTTCATGGGACTCATGTCTAGATCAACTTTCTTTCAAGAATTACAGCCACTTCAATTGGTAATTATTTTCACTCCGTGACTATTATGTGTTTATCACTCTGCTTATTTAATTTAGATTCACAGACAGGGATCCTCTTCTAGTATTAAATTTCAACGCTGTAGAATCAAAATCAAAATTAAAATTTGAATAAAAACTAGCCATACATGCATTCGTTCTCCATAATTTATTTTTATAATTTAATTTTTAACAAATATTTATACTTTACTATCAAAATCAAATACTTTTATAATTTATTTTTATAGAAAAATTTGCCTGCTCCAATTGCCATGGGCGAATATTGTTGACCACAAACATCCACCAAGCGCCAATCGTAGCCGATTGTTAACGGCAGTCAATACACAAATATCTTTACATTTGACTATAATACTAAAAGATATGCCACGCTTTCAAAATTAGACATGACTGATAAGAAATATATATATATTAATATGCATTTTTTTAAACATTGATCAAGAAAACTTTAATTCAATAGTTTAATTGGAAATTATTATAACATTTTCATATAAATAAAAAAATTTTAAATTTTTTATAAAAATTTTGATAAAAACTCCCCTAAAAATAGTATCTTTTGAAGTCTCTACAGCAGCCATATACAACTCAAATAAAAAATGAGGAGCTTTGTTTCTCCACAACAGACAAACAAATAAATAATAAAACAAAATTCTATCTATAATTAATGTGGAATACCTAATCATAATTTTAAAGTGTAACACATAAAAATTTACATCAAAATGAAGGTATTCTCAAAAAGGCCTTCTCATCAATTCAACAATGAGCCCCTCAGAGATCAACACAATGTAGATCATCTGCTATACTATTTAAGATCAAAAATATTTTCAATTAACACAACGTCCCAACAATAAATAATTGAATAAGAATAAAAAAAAGTTTGAAACAAATTTGTGAGTTAAAGAGACAATGATTTTCATAAGAATTTAATAAACTTTAAAATAAAAGGATTCTATATAACTTTAAATGAATATTGAACTATTAAATTATCATATCAAATATTACTATCACTTGCTTTCAATGAAGCAAATAAATAAAATAAATAATTATAAATAAATTATTAATTAAAACCAATAGCATATAAAATTATCAAATAATCAAATTCATATTTATATGGACTTATTAGAATAATTAACAAACACACAGTCTAGAAAATAATAACCAAACACGATTGAAGCCACGAAACAGATGCGGACACACGATCCATGCAGGTAAATATCCAGAAGCAACCAAAGTCATGAAATAGATGTGCATACATAGTCTAAAATGATAAATAACCAAATGTGGCTTAAATCACAAAACAGACGTGGACACTCAGTTTATGAGGGTAAATAACTAGATACAGTCGAAGCCACAAAACAAAAGGTATAAGACCCATAAATAACAAACGTGAGAATAAAATTCATGAAAATTGAACTATCCAATGAGTAACCAAGGCATATCAAGGTCTAATAAAATTGCCATTAGCAATCAGTGTTTTGCATATAGTTTCTTTAAAATTAATTTTTAAGACATGTGAGAAAGTAATCAATTTTCAAATTATAAATTCCTCTTCTTAGTATCAAACTCTCATGAATCACTTAAAATAATCAATCTTCTAAATAGAGATTCATTACTAATGTCTCATAATTCTTACGCCAATTTTCATGATTGTTTTTATTGAATAAAGGATTAATGAATCTTGTAAAAATAATTGTATCAATCTTGTATTTATATAACATGACTTCAAGAGATAGTTATTTAATTAATAAAAATAATCAATGCTAGAAATATATAAACACACACAACAATTGTAAATTGTTAAAAATAATATTTTGATAAAAAGAGAATTTGCTAATAGATTATTTGAAATGTTATTCACTTACCTATAGTATTTTCATTTTTAAAATTCACTCCTTACAACCTTAATGGAGTCTTTTTTTTTCCTCCAAACATCTTAAAGAAAATAGAGGTAGAAGAAGGGTGACGGTGGCGCAAGGGAAGAGAGACAACCACCGTTCGAAAGCCCTATAGCAGTGCACTAACTCCCATAAAAGCTTAGTCTTGAAACATGGTAGACAAAGCTTTAGAACTCACTACAAAAAATTATTAAAATAGAGACAAAAATTATAGATGGCCTAGAGACTAATTATATTTTTAGAGATGAATTTAATTTAAAAATATTGAGACATAATTAGAGATGACTTATATACATCTTTAAAAAATGTCACAAAATCTATCTCAACTTCTATCATTATTCATTAAAAATTTAATTTTAAAAAATTTAAAATGTTAGAGACAAGTTTAGAGATGAATAAATTTCATCTCTAAACTAGCCATCTCCAAATCCATCCCTAATATTAATTTTATATTTTTTTTAAAATTTAGAGACTAAATTTGAGATATATATATATATATATATTATGAATTTAGAGACAAAAATTTAACCATCTTTAATTTTCTCTCCAAATTTCTTCAAAATTTAATAATTTTATTTTTATTAATTTAGAAACAGAATTAGAGATGACTGAAATAAATATCTTAGAGCTAGAATTATTTTTGTTTCTCACTATGTCCCTAATTCAAAGTAGAGACAAATTTAGAGATGGAGTCATATTTTAATTTTTTTTAATTTTTAGATTATTAATTATTTTAATACATGTTTGAAATATATTAAAATACAAATTAATTTCAAAAGATGTAGAAAAAGTTTTATCATTATTTATTGAGCTTCCCATTCAATGCAAATTACAAAAATTTGATGTTTGTGTTTAAAAACATTTATCTTTAAAATTTATAGAGCATTTAAAAATATTTTACACATCATTTAAATCTTTCTCTTCTTCTTTCCATCTTTCTCTAAATTTAACCATTCTCATTTTCTAAATTTCTATTTAATATTCATTAATTTATTCTATAACTGTAATTGATTGAATGTTTTGTGTCTTTTGTGTTATTCATATTTCCTTTATTACTTTTTTTAATTTTTGATAAAATTTTACCAGATAATAAAACTGTTTTGAAAGACATCACTAACAATATTTTATAACAACACATTAAAATAAAAAATAATATCAAAACTCCAAAACATTTATGAAATTGAATATTAGAAGAATTAATAAAAAATACATTTGAAATGACTATAAACAATATTTATACAACTAGAATTAATTATTTTGATTAAAAATATCATTTTTATGCTAATTATATATATACTCCATTCGTTCAAAAATATAAAATATTTTTAATCGAATCTCACCCTTCAACAAGTAGTTACCTACTTTCTAACTAACCTTATCTTTCATTATTTACCCCTATTAAATACTCTACAATAAATATAAAGTCATTTTCAATAAGGATACTTTTAAAAAAGGTAATAATTACATCTCAAAAGACTAAAAATGTCTTATATTTTTTAAAAATCTAACTCTTCAAAAAATATCTTATATTTTTAAACAAAAAGAGTATATGATTAATGTTCATTTTTATCATACAAAGGAGAAAAGAAAGATAAATTTTGAAGTATATAAGAACATAAATATTTTATTGATATATAGTATAATTTAAAATTATATAAATAAAATAATATTAATTCATGATAAATAGAATTATGTATTAATATATAGGCATATGTATGTCTGTGTATTTAAAATATTTAAAATATTTTAAATTTGTTTCATATTAAATAAATTTGATAAAAAATAATTTTTTTAAAAAATAATTTTTAAATAGAAAATTCATATTAAAATATTTGAATTAAATATTTAATTTAAATATTTTGTTAAAAATTGTTCAAAAGGAAATTAAAAAATTATATGGCCATAATTATTTTTTGTTAAAATAATTTTAAAAAATAATTAAAAAATTGTAGATAAAATTTATTTGTAAGAAAATAATGGGAAACATTTAACCATTTTGGGAGAAGATAAAAAATTATTTCTTTATTTATTTTTTGAGAATAATATGGAGAAGATAAAAGTAAAAATATTTAATATAAACTAAAATAATACATATTTTTAAATAAATTATATACTTAATTATTTTATTTTAAAAATAATATTTTTATATTAAAAATTTGTTTCATTTTAAGTTCATTTTCCAAACAAACATAATATTTTATTAAAAATATAATATAAATAGTCATATAAATATTTTTATCATAATAATTTAAAATAAAATAATATATATAGATATCTATATATATCTTTTTAATAATATAATATTTTATATATGTGTATGTAGTTAAGTAACATATATTTAGTTTTACATATAATAATTGTATGTATATTTCAATTTAACTAACAAAGAAGGAAAATTTAAAGGTTTGAAAGATGAGAAATCAAGGGATCAAATCTAATTATTTAATGACATCCTTTTTTAAAACACCGCTATATCCATCTCTATTTATTTAAAGACTGATTATTGTGTGTTTAAACAACATTTTTTTTTGTAGTGGCTCACCCATGGCAGCATTGCAGCCAAATATTTAAAGACCGATTATTGTGTGTTTAAACAACATTTTTTTTGGTAGTGGCTCACCCATGGCAGCATTGCAGCCAAAATGGTAGAAGAGGCAGCACAAGCACTAAAAGTCCCATGAAGATTGAAGATTTGAACCTATGACCTATTAGAGAAGTGGGTGCATAGAGTCCACTAGACCAACTCTTCTTTTTGATAGATCGCCACCAAATTATATAGATACATATAAAATATCATGGTGATATCTTACCAACAAATTTGATTTTAATTAAATTCCATATCATCATCACAAGATATATGTGTCGTTTTTGTTTTTAATCTTTATTTCAAAGAAATGTTATTACACCATGTATATGTTCCATGACCAATGATACCAAAAAAAGAATCTAATTTTACAAGGAATTAATCATTGATTGTTGGTATTGCCATACATCCAGGCCTAATCAAATTTAGCAAGTTTAATTTGTACACCCAACTTTGCTTTTTGAGTCCAATAATAGGAAATTATATATGCATCATTAACTTTTACAAAAGTTGGAAAGTCTAGCTAGAATCATTCACTTCACAATAAGTAGCACTAAAAGAGTTCAATTAGTACCATTTATGTTTTGATGTGGGTTTCAAGCTTCAGCGAGCTTCAATCACTGTAGTACTCATTCCATTTACCGAATGAACTTCGTCACCAACTGATGGGTTTGAATGATCACAAGTGTTCTCTTGAAAACAAGCTGGGTGTTTAGGGGGAAGAAGATTTGAGTCATTCTCCAACATGGGAAACAACTTCTGACATGGCTGGTCTATCTGATGCGTACTCTTGTACACATAATAGTCCAATCTGGATGCATTTTAGAAATTCATGTTCAAGGCATGGCTTATTCGTTAATGCTGGATCAACAATTTCCATGGCTTCGCTTCCTCCCATAGGTCCCAAATCTAAATTAATTGAAGGCGTTAGATAATTAGACTATGGAGGAGTAATTAGTTCAATTTTATAGTGTTGTTCCTTACAGAAACTTACATGTCCAACCAAAGTAGAAGGGATGTCATCATAATGGCCACTATTCTTTCTGCTAGTAACAATCTCAAGAAGTAAAACCCAAAGCTATATACATCTGACTTTATTGAGAATAATCCTTCCATTGCATATTTCAGGTGACATGTAACCACTATAAGAGGAGATTTTAAAGGTTACAAACAAAAATTTCAATATGAAATATTTAAATTCTTAACTAAGAATATATGACTTGATAAATTGATATTTCTAGCATATTATATCACATGCAAAATTACTAACCTATCTAACTCATGAGGTCCTATTCAATTACAAAGATATTGATGTTGATGATGATGTCAAAAGTGATTACAACTAATTAAACATTTTATTTGTTTAATTATGATCATTTTTATGTGAAATTGTGGAATGGGAATCCATGTAATGTATTGCTCATAAGCTAAAATCGTCTTTGCATTGTTGAGTACTTACTAGGTTCCAACACATGATTAGTGCTTGCTTCAATTTGGTCTCCACCAAATATTCTAGCTATGCCAAAATCTGCAATTTTTGGGTTCAATGTAGAGTCCAACAAGACATTACTGGCCTTTAAATCTCTATGAATTATCCTTAATCTTGAATCTTGATGAAGGTATAAAATGCCTCTTGCAATTCCACAAATGATATCAAATCATTTCCTCCAATGTAATTGCAATTTTTTTGCATGATCTGAATAAAAATTTAAACCATTAGAAGTGAAGAATGCGTGCATGCTAAGTTTCATTGTAGCTTATGCCGAAAAATGAATAGAAGAGGTACCGAAAATGAAAGAGTCTAAGAGCTGTTGTTTGGCAAGTATTCGTAGATCAACATCTTCTCTTCTCCTTCGATGCAGCATCCTAAGATCCTTACAAGATTTTATGTTGGAGCTTGGCAATTAAAGCAATCTCATTTTTGAATTCTTCAATGCCTTGTCCAGAGTACTTTAACAGCCTCTTCACTGCTATTGTCGTTCCATCGTTGAGTAAAACCTAAAGTCAAAATCCATAATCAATTTGTGATTTCTTTTGCCTTAAATGATATATGTAATGCTTCTTACAAAACAAAGGCTACCTTATGAACAGAGCCAAAACTCCTTGCCCAAGCTTGTTAGCATCCGAGAAATTGCTTGTTGCTTCAACTATATCATTTAGATCAAATAACGGTAAATCTGAATTATTTTCTCCGTCAAGCAAATGTTCGCTAGGCCTTCTTTGTTCTGTAGTAAAAAAAAAAAAACGACAAGTCATGACCTGTATACAATTTACCTATCCATATACTCACAAAACAAATGATTATGTACATACAGCAATATAAAGCAATGAAATTAAGAAAAAATATATCGAGTAAGTTATGTGTGCTGGGTGAGAGCATTGAATCAAAAATTTATAATACCTTGTTCCTTTTTTCTTTGCAAACCAATACACAAAGGAGATCAACATGAACATTAATAGGAAGGTAGAAACAACCACAAGTGCTACCATCCCCCTCTTGCCAAGAGAACCATAAGGCTTCTTTTCATATTTAGCTGCAGATCAACAAGATTATATCAAACCAGAATCAATCTCCAGAGAAGAAACATGTATGCTTTAGAGTTCAAAGTGCATTATGAAGTAGTCTGTAAGCAATGGAGGTAGTTGAACGAAATACAATTTAGCTTTGATCGTAGAAAAGCTTCATATATATCATATATAGTATTGTTTATAATGCAATAGTATTGTTTAAAACAGTAGCAAGGAAATCTTATATGCTGTTAAAATACTAAAAAAGCTTCATATCATTTACAATATTGAGGCTGAATTTTTTATACTTTCCGTGGACTTTATGTCTCTTATTAACTTCAAGTTCATATTTTTCTCCTAATTATTAGGGTAAAATAGAAATAATATTAAATTAAAAAGTTCATAATAAAAGCAGCAAATAATTAAATACTATTAATAACTCTGGCATGTTTAGATTCAACTTTATTGGAATGTTTTGGGATAAAAATTTGTGAATAAAAATAGAAATAATGTTAAAATAAAAAGTTAAATAGGTGAAGAATAGGTGTTTTGACAAATTTTGCTGCCATTTCACTACTAAAATCAAGTTTGGTTTTTGCCACTTCAAGCCCTTTGACCACGTCAAATGGTTAAAATAGGTCAAAATGCTTTGCTATCACTATGCATGAATCTCATAATTATTTCACGTTAGTAGATAATGAAAAAGATGATGAGTCTTTGAGGGAAGTGAGATTTTGCTCCTAAAAAAATTGTTAGGAGGGATATTGTCCCCAACCCTTCAGTACATGATGCCTAGCACTCAAGAAATTTTAGGAAAAAAAAATGTTCTTAACCCTATGATAAATTGTTCTATTAATGACAATGTGACCCATTTCAAATCCTATGCAATGCATGGAACACACTAATATCCGAATTCGAATTATGGTTTATGAGTTTAAAAGTTATGGCTTTTAGTTTATGCATTAAAAGAAGGGTTAAGTCATAAAGTGGCCCTCAAAATGTAGATCCAAGAGTGTATGATAACTTAAACTCATTTTTGATACAATATTTTCCTTTAGCTTTTAAAAACTATGGGTGTAACCTATTATTAGCAAAAGTTAACTTTTAATTATTTATTGACTAGAAAATTGGAAAAAGAATTTTAAAAAGTATAGAAAAGGACAGAAATTTACAAATAAGGGCACAACATCACAGATAACAACTCAAAAAATTACAGAAAAATACCCAAAAAAATTAAATTTTCTTGATCTTTTTCTATAATTTTGAAATTCTTTTTTGCAATTTTTTAGTCAAAGTTAACTTTTATCAACAGTAGCATAATATTATATCATTTTTAAAATAAAGTTGAAGGTAAATATTGCATCAAAAATGAATTTAGAATCCAATACTCTTGAAATTATAGTTTAGGAGCCAAATTATCATTTAACTTTAAAAGAAAAAGAAAAAGAATGTACCCATTTCAGCTGCATCAACACGCACGTACAGTTCTTGTCCCACATGATTGAATCTCCTAATATCTTCCATATCAGCATGCCATGTCAAGCACCCACTTTGCGTTACCTCATTTAAACTCGTATACGCTACACATGAACAATCCTTCAAGCACTTCCCTTCACATCCTTTCAAGTACAAGCTCATATTCTTATCCACACGTGCCGTTGACGTATCTGGAACCTTCACAAGTGCAACCTTCACAAACCCCTCCTCATTTCGACACGTGGACACATTCTTCTTCCTCACACATCCACTCGACCCGTTTCTCACATATCCAGGCAAACACACACACTCAAGTTTGTTGCTTGTATATGGGTCACATATGCTATTTGACCCGCATCTTCGATAGTTGTCGCAATCCTCTGTCGGACCCGACCAAATTTCAAACCATCTATGCTCTTTAGCTTGCCAGATTGTTCGTCTAATTAGACCATCATTGTCGAGGACCATTCTTAAGAAGATCGTAGGGTCTCGAATCCCAATCATTATGGAAACTTCATTGGCATTGTCAACATAGCTAACGTTGAAGACGAAATTAGGTGTCATGACAGGTATGCCACTCCATCTTTGACCCGTCCAAGACCCACATCGCCAAAATGGAGTTCCGTTTTTGTAAGTGAATATTTGAGGATATCCTGTTGGGTTGATCCTATGACTCATGTTCCCAAATCTTGGTCGTAGGGGGATCTCCATGACCTAAGGAACCAGTTGAACCCGGTTCTGCGGTCCAACCCGAGCTTCATAAATGGAAGGATTGTGTCAGTTGGATAATCAAAACTCTGCCACAAAACCTTTTCATGCCTTCCTCCATTTTTAACTAAAACCAAGTTTCCTATGTCTAGAAGCTTAGCAAAGTAGGTTTCATTGGAAGATGTGATGGAAACACTGGAAGACCAAATAGGGTTCAGGTTAGAATTTATATCATTAAGAGCAAGAACAACCATGTTTCCATGGGCACTGATAGATAAAACTCCAGAAGTATCATTAACAGGATTTTCTCTATTGGCTACCCAAACTAGGGTTTGTTTAGAGAAATCTATGAAACCATATTCCGACATAGCGGTTTCTGGAATTGTTGCTGGGGTGAAGAAACCGAGGGCAAAGGTTGCTTGGTAGGAGAGCAAAATATCGCCATCTCTAAGGGGTTGGCTTGGGGTTATTCTATCAAGTGAATCACAAGAAGAATGAAGGAGAAAGAGAAGCAATAATAGAGTAGAGACCAGAACCATGCGGTTAGCAGAAAACACTTTCATGGTGTTCTGATTTGGGACAATTTTGAGATTGAACACTGACGAGATTCTAAAGACATATAATGAGTCAGAACAATAGAGACAAGGCGAGCTTATATAGATAAAGCCAACTTCCTTACTTTTCTTAGTTGGATGAATAGACGGACGACAGATATTTTCTGTGACTGTTTAGGTGGTAAGATCAAAAATAATGACAAGTTGGGATTGCAATAAATATATAGATCAGCCTGATAGCGACACACAACCAAGAAAAATATCCTCTGCTCACTATTTTACATGAACACACACACACACACACACACACTCTGTGTGACTGGATATAAGTTTGTTTTACAAGTTCTGAGAATCATGATTCTTTTAATAGGGGAGAGAAAAACGGGTGAACATGTTTTCTTCTTTATGGATATTGAATGAGTCAAAATCATGGGTCTCAAATTAATTTGCACTTTTTTGCTTTTCAGTTGCTCAAGTCACAGCTAAATTACATGTTATTATTAGAAAAATAGAAATTAGACTATTGAGAATATCAGCCCTCGAGGGAAATTTGTCACGAGAAAACATGGGGGCAATAGACTCTAGCTAGCTCAAACCTATTATAATGATATAATGGGAGCGTGGAGAAGCAAAATAGGGCGATCAGGAGAGAATTTGCCACGCAAATCAAGAGAAAGTTCGTGTATAATAATAATTGATCCTTTCCATATGAGATCCTTGGTGAAATAACTAATCCCAACAATCGTTCCAAATTCCTAAACATATTTGGATTGTAGTAGTCCAAAAATATACTTTACTACAAAACTTTAATCCTTCGTTTTGGGTGTGCGCGCCTGATTTATTTATTTATTTATATTTGCTAAGTTAGCCACAAATTTTCATTGGAAGTTCAACACTTACACAATGTCTGATCCTTTCATTCAACGGATCAATCAAAGTGGAGAAATATATGAATTTACTGGTAGGATCCTGATGGATCGCATTTAGATTTTCTTACAATATTAACTAGGAAAGTTATCTATATTTATGTGAGATTCAAGAGAGTTTTATGTTGACTTATTAAAGACCTAATCCAACCCTCTTTCTCCCATATCCAAGCTTTGGATCAGCTATAAAACATAGGGCGAAGCAATTATTCAAAATGATGGTGAAATTAATGAAGATGTTACAAATAATATAAGTTAGGTATTTCAAATAGAGAATTAAAGTTACAAGACTTATTTATGATCGGAAATTACCTAATAAGCATAAAAGAAAATTGTATCAAATTGCTATAAGATCAAGTATATCATAAATTTGGAGTAGTATAGATGAAAATGTTGAGATGGATGTGTGGGCACAATAGAAGATAAGATTCATAATGGTCATATACAAGAAAGTGTGACATCTACTAAAGAAAATAGTAAAAAATTATTTAAAATGGTTTGAACATGTACAAAAAATGACATGAGAGGCACCTATGAAAATAATGAAATATATAGTCTTGAATGGAAGAAAGATAATACAAGACTAAAGAGAACACTCAATGACAAATTGTTAAACAAGACTTTTAGGATAACAACATATGGAAAGGTTTGTTTGTTAATGGAGTATCATAACGATATTGTGTAATTTATATAACCGGCCCCACATAATAATAAGATATAGTTTGTTGTTGTGTTTAACTAGGAAAAGTTGAAATGAGTTAGCCCATTTAATTAACCTTGATCTGTATTAAATTGGCCTCACGGGCCAAGTTGACCAAGTCCACAAAACTCATCAACAAGCTCAGGCAATTAATTTTAACGAAGACGTGAAGATTGTGACACGTTCACATGTAGCACTGGAATACATTGAAGTCCTTGGTTTTTCGTCCGTGTTAGTCCACGTTGTTCTGTGATACTCTGTCGAAGGCCAAAACTTTTGAGATGACTTTTTGGTGATGGAGATACGTAACTAGAACACGCGTGGGATTGGTTGACATTTGTTAATGCAAATAACTTTGTGAAACATTTCTTAGGTTTAATTTGATATATATCTGAGACATATTTGATAAATACTCCCCATGTTTAAAATTCATTTCTAACATATTCTATTGAAATTAAGGAGAACCTTAAACTTTATTAACTCTATTTTTAAATTTAATAAATTTTCATCTTTACTCCCTATCAAGGACAAAAAGAATTATTTTTAATATTTTTCATAGTATTTAATAAATACATATATAAAGATGGAAAATGACAATAAAATCCCTTCAAAATATATAATTATAATTTGGTCCATCAAAATATCATAATTCTCCAAAAATCTCTAGAAACTTTTTGTTTTAATAAATTTATGTAAATTACTAAATTACCCTTTTTGAAAATAAATGATTCACAAGTTTTGTTTTAAATATTCACAACTTTTCTTCTTATATTCACAATAATGTAATAGCAAATAAGAAATTTTAACATTTTAAAGGATCAAATTATCATTTACATATTTCAGAGGAATTTTATTATCATTTTTTCCATAAAAATAAAGATGCACATGAAAAATAGTAAAGTCTCTATAAATAGAATTATTTTTAACATCTTATATTGACTTAACCCACCAATAGTGTGATAACTCTTTAACCGAGGGTAAAAGAACTTCCCGATGTCTTAGGCCCGTAAATTTATTAATGTATAATTAATTTGCATGATTGTAAAAACTCAGCTTTTTAGACAAATTATGGAGGGATGTGAGTTGGAAGGGTTCCCCCTGTTTGGTTGAGAAATTTGGAGAGGAGGGGAGTCAAATTAAAATCTCTTTCTTTCTCCTTTAAACTAAACATACACTACAAAAAAATTAATAATAAATAGAAATTGGAGACAGGCTAATTATTATCATCTTTATCGAGACTGAATGAAAGACAAATTATACTTTTAGAGATAGATTTAATTTAAAAAATATTTTAAAACATAAAACATATTAAAAGATGATTACATTCATCTCTTAAAAAAAACTCAAATTATGTATTAAAAATTTAATTTTAAAAAATAAAAAATTAGAGACAAGTTAATAGATGAATAAATTTTATTTCTAAACTAATCATCTCCATGAACTTTTCTATACTAATTTTACTTTTTTTTTAAATTTAGATATTGAATTTGATACATTTTTTTTAATTTAGAGACAAAAATTTAAACATCTCTAATTCCCTTTCTATATCTTTATAAAAATTACTAGGCCTCATTCAAAGTTGAGATGGATTTATATTTTATATTTTTAAATTTTTGATATATCAATTGTTTTAACACATGTTTAAATGATATTAAGATGCAAATTAATTTTAAAAGGTGTAGAAAATGTTTAATCATTGTTTAGTGAGATTCACACTTAATGGAAAGATAAAAAATTTGAAGTATGTGTATTGATATTTGGAATTTATACCATGCTTTAAGATGATTTGCACATCATTTAATCTCTCTCTCTTCCACTCACTCTTCTCTAAGTTTAATCATTATTACTTTTAAATTTCTATTTGGTATTCATTAATTTACTCTCTACAATAATTATTGAAGGTTTTTTCTTCTTTTGTTTAATTCATACTTCTCGTTGGTATTTTATAATATTTAATAATTTTTTTACCAAATGACAAAAACTTTTAGAAAAATTACATTTAGGTCCCACATAAGGAAATTTATTATTAAGAGATTCCGTAAAATTCACAAAATACTCTCAACTTTCAAACCTATGTATATTTTAACATTGACTAAAGGCATTAGGAATAGGGCAATGGCTATTTACAACTTACTATTATAAATTATTATTTTTCTTTACAAGTTGTAAATGATCATTGCTTAGTTTGTTAATGCCTTTAGTTAAATTGTAAATACACAAAATTAAGTCTTGAAAGTATTTTGTGAATTTTATGAGACCTCTTAGTAATAAATTTTTTATGTGGGATCTAGATATACTTTTTTTCAAATTTTTTTTGAAAGAAGTCACTAAAAATTTTGTATAACCACCTATTGAAATAAGAAATAATCTGAAATAAAAAAATAAAAAGTCCAAAACACATATGAAATTAAATATTAAGAAGAATTAAAAATAACTTTGTTTATAAAATAACCATAAATAATATTTAAATGACTAGAATTAATTATTTTAAAATAAATACTATTTTTATTATATATTCCCTCTGTTTTTTAATATAAGAAAAAAAATTATATTATATCGTTTAAGAAAATCGATCAACTATAATACTTTGTCTAGAGAAAAAAAATTGAATTAAAATATTTTATATTAATTAATATAAGTATATATATTAATTTTTATTAATGACATGGCACAGTGCCTAGTAGTAGTGACATGACAGTGGAGCATAGAGGTGTTGTGGTGAGTATTACTTGGTAGTGATGTGGTAGTAGGTGC